ACATGCCTTTAGTTCATGAGGTTGTTATGGTTCTCAAGTTGCTTCCCTCTTCTCTTCTATTCCTGTGTCAATTCAGATGACTAATGATATTTTGATATGACATTGGACTAGAGATGCTTGTTATTCTATCAAGTCTGGCTATAGAATGTTCATCATCTATCTCAAGACAACAGTCATTTGCACAACTTTCACATATTTATTGATATATCAAGTACATTAATTTCACTAAAATCTCCGTAATAAAAACAATAGATATTAAATCTAACTCAAAAGAGATTACACTTTCAATCAATTCTAAATATGAAAGAGAATTTTTAAATATAATTTCTTATCGACTCAGAAAGGATTAGACTTTCGTCTAACTCTAAAAATGGAGGAGGATACCTTGTAAGTAAAAAAAAAAAAAAAAAAAAAAAAAAAAAAAAACAACAAAATAATTGGATTACTGATGTAAAGAAAAAAAAAAAAAAAAAAAAAAAACAAAATAATGGAATACTGATGTAGAACTGTAAATGAGAAAAGAAAAATACATGGAATTGAGGAAGGTGTAAAAGGGTTATTTTGTGTGGTTGACATACATTAGAAAAGTATGGAAGAGGCAGATGACCTCTGCCATGGTAGAATATATAGCAAGTCAAATAACAACTATTGCTGAAGGAGATGATGAAAAAGGTGCATACAAATAAATAAATTTAAGGATGATGCCATTTGGTCAGACTTATATAAATATAAATAAACAAAAGTCTAAAAATTAAAAAGAAAAGAAGAAAAGTTTTTGTATATGACCCGATTAAATATTTCACATGCCAATTAGATGCCGGGTCACAAACAGCACCGATTAATTTGCATGTTACTAATTGGAAAAGTCCATTTTAAATATTGGTGTAATTATATTTTAAGCTATGTAAAACTACATATGCCACGGTTTGAACCAAATCAAGTCAAAATTCAAAAAATTGAAATTTTTTTATCATATAAGCACAGAACTTGGAAATCTTAAAAATTAAAATGATTTAATTTAAAAATCAAGTCAAACTAAATTAAACGGAATTAATTCTATAAACAATTTAATTCAACTCATTTCGTACTAATTTAATTTGTTTTGAACCAAATCAATTAGATGATAAGCATCAATATTTAAATAATTTACATATAAATTGACCCTTTAATTCAGTTATCTATTATTCAATTCTCGATTTTAATAAAATTTATTAAATTTCATTAAATTTTTTAATTATGTTAGTTATCCTTTGACTTAATAAATTAGTAAAGACACTTGATAGTCGAAAAGATTCGAACTCAAAATCTCTGACTCTCTATATTAGTAACAAGATCAATCAGATCACAACTGATTGACTTTAATGTTCAATTGAGTTTTTATAATTATTTATTAAAAAAATTAAGTATAATTTAGAGAAAAGTCAACTTTCCACAAATTATATAACAGGGACGGTAGTGCTTCACCGATTTAGTGAAAACTCATGTGGTCGCAAGGAGTCAAACTCGAGACATCAACCTTCTCATATAAGTGAGAAAACCAACTAGACAACATTATGATTAACAACTTTCAATAATTAATTAAAACTTGGTAAAGACTAAGTTTGTAAGCTCATAATACATTATGAGTATTAAGCTTCAAGTAAATAGTATAAATTTTGATTTCTGCTATACTATCATTTTTTATCAATTAATTCAATTTTTGTCCAAACGAAATATAAAATTATTTTCATATTTTTAAAAGATAAAAATTGAAAATTGAAAGTCCAAATATAACAAAAATTAAAATTCAAGACTAAAAAGGATAAAAAGTTGATTTTTGGCAATGAACAATTGGATTTCTTTTTATTTCTGTATATTTTTATTTTAAATTTTTTATCTTTTAATTAAATAATTATATTAGGGTTTTAGAGGAGTTGGTATTTCAACTTGTATTGACTTGTCGGTTGCTTGAAGCACCAAATTAAATTCAATGAAAGCAACAAACAAACGTCAACATAGGTGGTCCTTTTAATTAGTTACTGGATGATTAATACATATTTATATCACTGCAATTATTAATGAAAATGATAATTCCTTTTTTTCAAAAAAAAAAAAAAAAAAAAAAAAAAAAAAAAAGATTATTCCTTTTTCAAAAAAAAAAAAAAAAAAAACAAAACAAAATAGATGATTCTTAAACGAGGAGCACCGCCAAATTTCCAACAGCTACCACTTGAATAGGTAAGGTAAAAATACAAGAACAAAACAAAACATTAATTTTCTATCATATAGATTAGTTTTGAATTAGTAAGGTATGTTCTAACAACCGCAGGACCATTGATTTCAGTTCTTTAGACTATTTTTTAAAAAATTTTTTAATTTTTTTTAAAAAAAAAAAAAAAAAAAAAAACAAAAACAAAATAGATGATTCCTTTTAAACGAGAGCACCGCCAAATCAACAGCTACCACTTGAATAGGTAAGGTAAAATACAAGAACACAAAACCATTAATTTCATCATATAGATTAGTTTTGAATTAGTAAAGGTATGTTCTAACAACCGCAGACCATGATCTTCAGTTCTTAGACTATTTTAAAAATTTTTTAATTTTTTTATTTGATTAATCAATTTTTAATTGAAATCAATCTATAAAAGTTTCAGAATATAATCAAATTAACTCTAAAAAATTTGCAGCAGTATTAATATTTAAGTTTTTTTCAAAATATTAAAATTTCAGTATATGAATTGATTCAAATTGATAAATTATTTTACACCTTTATATTTGGCATAATGTAATCAATCATATAATGGAATGGGAATGACATTACATGACTGATTATATTATTTGATTAAACTTTTTTTTAACGATGTAATGTAATTGAGATTATTTGTGTAATTTTTATTACTTAAATTGATGTATTTTCATTATATCAAAAAATCTATATACAGCCATTATATTCATCAAAGCTCATAATCATTCTCAACCATTATCACAACCATAGTTTCACCACCACCACAACCACTACTCCATTGCCGCCACCATCACTCCCCCTCTACCACTACCACCACCCACAACCACCACTGTTATCATCGCCACCACAACCACTGCTCTACCGCCACCACTACTTGACCACCACCACCACCATCGCTGCCACCACTCCACTACCACCATTAGTGCAATCAATTGCAACTACCACTATTGCTTCACTACCACTACTACTACAACCATCGTAACCACTACCATCACTACCTCAACCATTACTCCATTACCACTGTCATTGCCACATCATTATTAATTATTCTTTTCCATTATTATAGGAATAGGAAGAATCAAATGAAAAATTATTAATAATATCAAAATATCATAATTTTATATTGTAATTAAATTTATTCAATGAAAACATATGGAATTATGTTAAAAAAAAAAAAGTTTCAATGACTTTAACTTTTATTTTGTTATATTACATTTTTTTTTTGCTTATTTTTTTTTATTTTCTAGTCCAAATAGTTTAATAGTCTTTAATAGTTTGATATAATGAATAACGTTTGATTCAAATATTTCTGTTTTTATTAATAATGATGTGATGGCAGTGGTAGTAGTGGTGGTGGTGATGGTGGCAAAGTGGTAATTGTGGTGGCAGTGGATGTGGAGTGATGGTGGTGGTGGTGTGATTGGTAGTTGTGTGCTGATCACATTAAATATTTATAAACAAATATGAAAATTAAATAATGCTTACATTCTATAAATTTTCTCACTTACAATACCAAACAGTAAGGGAAGCTTAATTACATTCTATTACATTATACTTTTCATTGCATTATATCAAACCCAACATAGCCTAACAGTGTATTGAATTAAAATTTTGTTAGATTTTAAAAGATTTTTGAAATTTTTAGATTGGAGGAATGGATTTATGAATGACTTTTTTATTTATAACTAGCACTCCAAATCCAACGAAATTAATAATTTTATAGAATTTTTCTAAATTTTATAGAATCTTGCTAAATCAACAATTTTTTAAATACTATCAAATTTGTATAAACTTTTGTGAGAGTCTGAATTGAATACCGCACACATATACTCCAAAAAAAATATATATATAAATTTAACTAATACCTTCTCAAATACTTCAATTAGGAATCCTTAAAATAACTTATTTAAAAAAAATGAAAAATATTTATCTACAACTTATCACTCAATCAAATCGTAGGACTAACATTTTATTATGACGATAAATAAGCAATATTTAAATGTAGCTGATGAATCAAAATATCACAATTAAAAGAAGGACAACGTCTTAATTTTTTTTAACAATTTAATATTACGACATTAAATGACTAATACTTAAACTCAATTAATATCATTAGTATATTTATTAGCTTGGTAAAGATTAATCTAACATTAAAATTAAAAAATAAATCCATACCATAATAATAAGTATTAAAATTAAAAAATAAATTCTAAACAAGAATTGTATTTTAACTCAACTAAAAAGCTTTAATATTAAATTAAAAAAAAGACAAATGTCTTAACTCTAACTTATGTACTACGACAATTTATTATTATAAACAATTAATATCGTAACTCTAATTCAATTCAATTAGAAATTATAAAAATTGCTAATATTTATTGTAATAATAAAAAAATACTACTTCAACTCAATTAGAATTTTATAAATAAAAAAGTTTATTATAAAAAAAATTGAATCACGAGAGTGTAAAATAAATATAAATAATAGGCAATCCACATTTTAAAAGCTAGTATAATTAAAATTTCAAAGGGTAAAGATTCCCAAGTGCGTAATTTATTTAAAATGAATATGACCAAAGGTCTCTTATTTTAAGACCTCCAACCATCTTATAATAATGTAACATTAAAAAGATGTCATTGCAATTATTATTTTCAATAAAAAAATATAAATTGCTGAACTGCTAGCCCAATAATAAATATAATATATTTTCAATATCGTCTTTAACAGGTGCAAAAATAAAAAATAAATTAAACTAAACATCAACACAAACACGTACCAAGCGACCATATCATATGATGTGACTAAGATATCCAAATGGGTCCTTTTTGCTTGAGATGTAATATTACATCTTACACCTTACATATTTACCATGTAGGAAAAAAGAAGAGCAAAGAGCATATAAGTAAAGAAAGGAATAACCAAGTATTAATACAGATTCTCAAAAAAAAAAAAATAAAAATAAAAATAAAAATAAATAAATCAATACAGCAATTCTTATATAGACTTTAGCTCACCATATATATACCATCTCATATAAGGTGGGATTTACACATAATCTATCATCTTAGATGGTATAATGGTACCCGATGGACTAGACGAGTATTTTCCATATAAATACATTTTCACTAACATTGTGCAGGCAATATCTGATTCTGATCAACTGGTCTAGGAACATGCTGCCATCCAGTACAATGCTGGAGAACCTGTTTAAGAGCATCGGTTGGAGCTTCCACCGTCCAGTTAGGGTAGTACTGACTGGGATGAAACATACAGGATTCAGCAGTTTGCAACATTAAACCTGCCTGAGTTCCAGTAACAAATAGGTCTCCTTCCGACCTTATGTAGCCGGTCCCTGCTTCTTCCTTGTCAGCTGCCTGGAAAACCATCCCATATTTAAATAATGTTAATCTATGCTAGCCACATTTTGATTGCCACCTACACAACATAGTAAAATTTATTTTTCCGGTAAAGTATAATTTACAATAATAATAAATCTCGTAAAAAAAAAAAAAAAGATAAATTGCTTATGAGGTTTTTCCAACTAACTGAGAACCTACTGGAAATTGTTATCCTGCAAATAATCCTTCACTAAAACTGTTTTCAAGGTTCATTTTACACTCCTAATCATTTTATGCTTTATGGGAAAAGCTTTTGATTGAAATCCGATAAAGGCAATGACTTCTATTCCCGCACAAAATCAACAAAGACTGTAGATCAAGTTTGAAGAATGATATTCTTAAATCTAATTGTACCCATCATGATAAGCACGTTCCATATCCAAAGATCCTCAAGCTTTTATTCCATCCATCATTGATATAAGTGATTGCGAGGCAAAAGGCACACATGATATACCCAACCTGCCTTTATTTCCTGTGAGATGGCCTCTACATTAATCCTCTATTGGTTTTTACTTATTTACTTCAGGAAGGAAGAGGCCATATGATGCTGACGAGAAATTCAAGAAATTAAAAGTGTATTTTTAAGAGATAGCAGATGCCTTAATCTAATAAATTAAAGACACTTAATCTGCAACTTTTATCTCTAACTACTTCAAGCCACCAAGTAGGACAAGAAAGCCCTTTATTTGTAAAGGAGGATGAAAGAAATGAGAAAAATCAGATCACTACTTAACAAATAATAACTGACCGTTAATAATGTTAACACCAAACTCGTTTCTTCAGGTATCTTATAATACTTGCATTTTCCAGGTAGAAAGCATTTCTCTGCTCACTTCAAGTAATGAAAGGTGTTGCAAAGTGTAAAGAACAACTGTCAGCCAAATTTCTTAAGGGTTTATTTCAATGTTGCATAAGCGGTATACTGCTAAATCAGTAGGCTATCGAGAATTCGTAGTCCCATGGTTTAACACAACATTGACCCAACCCTACCCTTAAAAAAGAAAAAGGAAAAAGAAAAGGAAAAGAAAAGGAAAGAAAGTAAGGAAGAAAAGGATAAGCAGAAAACTGTTACGAATGATATGTTGTAGCTGTAATCAGATTGTAACTGGGCTTAGCTAGTAATTATAGTTAGAAGCTCCAATAGAACAACTATTGATGTAACCTGTCATTGTAGAGATATTGAAGAATCCAAATTAAATATTTTCCTCTTATCTTTCTCTTCTCAGTCTCTCTTTGTTCTACCATTCTCTCCCCTTCTCTTCCATTTCTTCTATTCTCACTTCCCAAACAATGGTTAGGCTTGGTAAGAAAACGAAGGAAGGAAAAGGAATTTTGGAAACAGAATTTTAGTGCTCTTATTGATAAAGGAAGCAAAACCTGTTGGTTACCAAAAAATACTTCCACTCCCATTACAGAATGGGGTTGTTCTTTTTCTGGTTTGGAAAACCAACTTGGGTCATACTGTGCTTTCCACACTTCAGAATTTGAGTTGCTATGTCATTTCTTTGAATTAAAAAGTTTGTGCCAACAATTCAACAAGTGGGTTTGCTGTCGATCCAAAGAATTAGAAAATATGATTTTGAACATAGCATGTTAAATAAAAGTGCTTGGAGAATTTATACCTGGAAGTCCTTCGAAAATGAATGATCCAAAAATGGGGCCATCTAGATATTTTGGTTTACACTTAAGGTTAGAAGAGGACATGATTGCCTATTCCTCATATGATTTTAGAGGTGGAGAAACTAATAAAATGGAACTTAAAGCTTACAGAGAGAGTCTTTCTTCTACCCATTAAATGGTTGAAAATGGTTTATCCATTTTGCCTTTATTCCAGAATGCTTTCCGAATAATATACTTCCTGTGGATATGGTATTCATTTGGGTTAAAATATTGCTTCCATGCTAATTTCAAGCTTGCAATGGTAAAGGTTGCTTTGGGGGTTGATCTCCTATTTCTCTCTATCTACTTCAAACATCCATTACACCCTATGAAGAACCAATCTTTGATGACCAACCTTTAGATGATATGTTACGTTAGATCGCTTGCTCGAATCTTGTTTGCTTGGATCCTTGAGGACAAGGATCTCAAAAGGGCAGGATAATTGTTAGAAATGATATGTTGTAGCTGCAATTGGATTGTAATTGGGCTCAGCCAGTAATTGTAGTTAGAAGCCCCAGTAGTACAAATTCTGATATAATCTGTTGTTGTAGAGATATTGAAGAATCCAAATTGAATATCTCCCACTTATCTTTCTCTTTCTCAGCCTCTCTCTGTTTCTACATTTCTCTTCCCTTTTCTCTTCTATTTCTTCTATTTTCTCACTTCCTAAACAATAGTTAGGCTTGGTACCTAACAAAAACTAGGCAAAACATAGAACAGCATAGTCAGAAAACTACAAATAAACCCCACATATTTGGTAACTCAGAGATCAATAGGTGGTGTCTTTAAACACGATTGAAATTTAGAAGCAGACATGGAGATCAAACCAATTTCCTTTCACACTGAATTATAATCCAAGACAACTCTTCAATTATGTACAGAAATAATTTTAGAATAAAATCATTAGGCAATCTCACAAAAAAAAAAAAAAAAAAAAAAAAGATTCAATAGCGGTGGTGTCTTTTAACACGATTGATATTTTAGAAGCAGACATGGAGATCAAACCAATTTCCTTTCACACTGAATTATTAATCCAAGAACAACTCTTCAATTATGTACAGAAATAATTTTAGATTAAAATCATTTAGGCATCTTCACAAAAAAAAAAAAAAAAAAAAAAAAAAAAGAGCCTTGAGCTATGGAAGAAGGCGAAGCTTATTCATAAGCCATATTGGGAGTAAACTTCACTTTGTCGCTCAATAACATCACTGTGACCACATTTAGAGTTTTAGACACTGGAGATTTTACATTGAAACCCACTGAAAATTTACCTAATGTCCAATTGAAAGAGGAGGAAGAGAAGCAACTTTAATTTTGAAAGCCTACTTTTGCATCTCCAGGACAAAATAAAGTAGGTGCAAGGTCATATTTGGCAACTAAAACTAACCTCAAAATGAAATTCAGAATTCAGCAATTTTAACATAACAGGTTGGAAGTGTAGTTAGACCTAGAAAATAGGTATTAAACTTTCAAGTGAAGATGAGTAAATTTTACCGTCACATTATTCATGCCACAACTTTTGGAGCCAGAGTGAATTCATAGGGCTAAAAAGATTCCCATCTTAGCTAACATAACCACAATCCTACATGAATCTTCTCTTCCCATTCTCCTTTATCCAATCAAAATTCTTATAGCATATTACAACTCAAATCCCTACTTCTTAGATTGAATTTTGTGGTCCATATTTTTCCACCATGGCAAGGCACTCAAAATATAAAATCAAATTTAGGCTGAATTTTCTAACAATAGAAATTTCTAAGCTTCACAACCTAAATTTTTGACATCAACTTCAAGAAGAATATCCCAACATGTTTGTATCTCTTTACCACCAGGGTCAGCTAATATGTCAAAGAATCAAAGAATTTACGAACTTCAAAAACTGGATATATTTGGACCACATAGCCATTGTCCTTATAGCTAATTACGGGGTCCATTTCCAATAGAAATTAGCACTTCTTAGACTAGCATGAAAAAAAAATTTACATTCTTTACACATTCAAGTTCTTGCAAGCAACCAAATAATCATGAAAGCTTAAGACTTATATGTGGAGAAAGGGGAAAAAAAAAAGACTTGCCTTCTCGGTGAGATACTTAAATGCTACCTTCTTCTGTCCTGCTTCATAAATGTTGCATTGGGAATATATCTAATGGCAAAAGGCAAATAGCAAGATATCAAAAATAAATCCCAGAGCATGGAAAAGATAATAAAATGTGTGAAAAATGCTAAATGGAAAAGTACCTGAGACTCTACACTGGCACAGACAGCATAAATGCCCCAGTTTCTAGTGTAATTATTGTATAAATGTACTTTACCAAATCTAACACGAGGATGCCGCTGTCGAGTCCCATCAAAAAAACAATGGTGAATAGTAACACGAATACATCTGTCACTAATGTGAGATGGATCTGCACCAATGAGCATTGTCTTATCATGCTGTGCAAAATGGCACCTGAAAAATAACTGTTAAATATGTGAAATGAAATGTTAAAAAGAGAATAAAGTTCTTTTATATTGGGGATTCGCTTCACCTAGAAACAGTAATATCAGTGCTTTCTCGTGTGATATCTATCAGCCCATCGTCATAATCTCGAAGGCTGCAACGATCTATCCATATGTGCTTGGACTTGGGTTTTATCTGAATGGCATCAATATCAGGTCCCCTTCCACCTTCAAACTCTAGATTGCATATAATAACATGCTCACATTCCTTCAACCTCAAACCTTTCCCAGTGAATTTTATTCTTTGACCCCGGCCATCAATAGTCTTATAAGATGACACACTCAAGTAAGAATGAAGATGAATGGTGCCTGACACTTCAAAGACAATCCAAAGTGGTTCATTTCTTCTGCATCCATCCCTAAGTGATCCTGGCCCGTCATCTATAATCACATAAATGTTGACATAAGATTATTGTGGCAGAAACCAATGCATACAACATAGTTGAAAATTTGTTGCACCATCCATGTAAAAAGATGATCCAAGGAAGCCAATTTAGTAGGCTAGTCGGATCAGTAGGCTGTGCTGGTTCAAAAAAAAGCCATTAATCTCATCTTTTCAAATTCAAGCAATAAGAACAAGTTCTTCTAAATTCGAGTAAAGAAGAAATAGTAAACCATAGTTTAGAATTCCTAAATTTAACCATATATTCCAATATCTCCCATTTAAACGTTGGTGCTGAGGTAATGGTTCAGCAATCCTTCAATAGCTCCATTAAGGAATGCAACTGTTCTAACCTCAAATTCTGACCAATCATCAACAAAGGATCCATACACATGTTGAATTCTCTATTAGTTCATATTGTAATACTGCACAATTTACGTCTATATCTAATAATATATCCACATCTATATGATATAATCTCTATGAAATTTAAGTAAGAAAATATGCCTCCGCAATGCTTTAATAGTTCCAGTAATGAACACAACTATTCTAGTCCCAAAATTCTAAACAACCATCAATAGGGGGTCAACGGTGGATTCTCAAGTAGGGAAAACTAAACTCTTGACGAATTCTTTCAGAACCTATGGTTGAGTGCTTTGTTTCGCTAGTTACGCGCGAGCTCTTTTCCTCCCACAATTTAAGGATTGGTTCAAAATCAATAGTGGCCTTTTTGTCATATGAGACAGCTGATATTCAAAGCTATACATATCCTTACATTCAGTCAAGGAATAAATTATATTTCCATAATAAAGAAATGATCCTCAATAAGTACATATCTTGACTTCACTTTAACAAACAAGTATCAAGAAGAAATATGCCAAAGCTCTAATTTCCATAAGCTACCTCTTATCTTGATATTTAGTTAGTCAACCATTTACGCGAGCTGCAAACATGTCTACTTCACCAGGTTTGAATGCCGATTAATATAGAAAGAATCTTACTTTATCATACTCTTAAAAAAAATTTTTAAAAAATATTTCCCTTCTTTTAAAAGGAAAAGGAAAAGAAGAACAACATTACCAACATTCTAATAACATACAAATCTACCAAAAAAAAAAAACTAAATAATTAATAAATTGAGCCTTAAATACGAAATTTACTAAAATTCCAAAGCCAATTCAAAAATTTAATAAATAAAAATTTGTGTGGGAGAGAGAAAGAGAGAGTAGATATGACCTGCTAAGGTGGTGACTTGATAGAGGTGACCGTGGAGACCTCCAATGGCATGGCGGCCAAACCCCTCAGCTTGGCCGGCAAGGGCTCGCAAGGTGGAGTCGACGTGAACATAAGGCAAAGAGGTTGTTGCCATGTTAGGCGGCGGAATCTGGTTCTGTGCAGGAGGCAGCACTGAGGTCGGAATTTGAGGAGTGTGATCTGGCGCAGGTCCATAATTAAAGTATGGAGGCGGAGCAGTTGCCGTTATATCGGGGAAACTGCCGCTGGGCCTCGCGCCGTTATGGAATTTGCGATGGCCGTGAGAGTTTCCCATTTAATGGCAACAAAAAACTGTTACTTTCGGGTTTCTGTTTGTTTTGCAGTCGAAGCTGAAGTGAAAGGGATTGACACAGAAACCGACCGACAGTTTCAAGTGGTGTTGGAAAGTATTTTATGTCTAGGAATATTATAAGACCCAATTTACGGTTGAATTTGGTAAGGTTTACCTAGAAATTAATTTTTTTAATATAATTTACTCTTGAATTTATTTTAGAAGAACAAAAAGCCCTATTTTTATCCAAAAATAATAAAAATTTAATGTAAATTAAATTAATTAAAAAAATAATTATTAGTAATAATTTTATTGAATCATTTGCACACTTCAAATGTGTTTTTCTGTTTTTTAATCAAAAAAATAATTTTTCTTCTCGTTACACTACAAACATTCATCAGTATTTTTTATTAGTACACGTGTCATTATATTAGAAACCTGCTGCACAATGAAATGGAAAAGTTCGATGTAAAATTTCTCCGCCTCGTGTGATTGAATTCGAGGCCAATTTTTTTCCAAAAAGAGAAAAAAAGGTCGGGTCAGAATCGACACGGCGGCTTCGGTAGGCCCGGCGGCGTGAATAGGACAAAGTCTTCTCTTTGTTTATTTCTACAAAACTAACAACTCCCTCCAATTTTCTCTGCTCAGTTCTTTCTCTCCTCCTCCTCCTTCCAGCCAGTCCAGTCAACCCCTCTTTTTCTCTTCATTCAAACACACATTCCCATGTAATATAAACAAAAACAATATTCGTTTTTCAAAAAAGAAAAAAAATCCATTACAATGATCTGATAGAGATTGTTTGAGCTTCTCCACATGGCGTCCCAAATCATTGAAGGTGCTCCCTTTTGTTCTTATACCTTTTTTTATCTTCAAATAATCTGTTTGGTTTTAAGAAACCATAAGAAAAAAAAAAAAAAAAGGAAAATTATTATTGATGTTATCATGCTATATTTTCTAATCTCATACATTGCAAATGTCATACTGGGAAAGAGAGAGAGAGAGAGAGAGAGAACGCTAATCGTTGTTTTTTCTTTTTTTCCTTTTGATTTATAATTACTCTGTTTTCTTGGTGACCAAACAGTATATATGATTTAATACATTAATTAATTTTTTGTTATTTTTTCTTTAAATTTATTTATTGATAATGTGAATTAAGGAGTGGAGAAGGATCTGGAGAAGGGAATGGTGAAGAATTGTAGGTCTGGCCCTAACCTTCGAGCAGGAATATCGACATTACCTTCTCTGGTGTCAACGCCAAGGGAAACATGGCTTAATCGTCTCTCAGAAGGGTCGCCATTACCTTCTCCGGTATCAACGCCAAAGCCGCATCTGGTGCTATCCAATTCCGGCAAGGCTTTGCTCGTGTCGTCTTCTGGCAAGTGTCTGGTTGTTTCTAATTCCGGTAAGCGGTTTGATAAAAAGAAGTACGTGAAGCAAGTGACTGGCCGCCACCATGACACTGAGCTGCACCTGGCAGCACAACGTGGGGATTTGGCCGCCGTGAAGCAAATTATCAGTGAAATTGACGAGCAGATGATGGGGACACTAAGTGGAGCTGACTTTGATGCTGAGGTGAGTTGCTCACTGTTTCATTCAGCTCAAAATTACTAGTAAATTGTCCTTTTCCTCTATACGTAAATTCTTGAGGAGGTGTTGCAATGTTTTGATTCTTATAGACGTGACTCTCACTGTGTAATTGAATTCATCTCTAGGCAAGAAAGTTTAGAGCTCTCACTAGAATATAAAGTTTAACATTTTGTAATTCTAGAGATAAGGGATTCTTTAACTAATTTTTGAATATACCTCATGAGAAGGTGGCTGAGATAAGGTCAGCTATAGTGAATGAGGTGAATGAATTAGGAGAAACAGCATTGTTCACAGCGGCTGAGAAGGGCCATTTGGAGGTGGTGCAGGAGCTATTGCAGTATACGACTAATGAAGCCCTTTCATTGAAGAATCGGTCTGGGTTTAGTCCTTTGCATGTTGCTGCGAATCAAGGTCATCAAGGTGATAATTTTTATCATTTATTTATCGTGCTTTTTCATTTTAAACTTTTTGATAATATCTTGCATTTTTTATAGAGTGCTTTAACAATTTTATTTTAGAATTAAAATAGTGCCATGAGCTGAGTGTCATTAGTAGGGAAATTGCATCTTGTACTGCATCTATGGATTGCCATAATCTATTTATGGATTGCAAAGTGAACCTATAATAATTTGTCAAATGAGAGGAGTATGTGTAGCACCATCTTATTGGCAGTAAGCCTTTTGTAGAAATTCATTTTTCTGCAATTGAAACTTAACATTTCACTATCTAAACGGGTTCCACATGTTATTGTCATTGGTTATGACTTCTAGAATTGTCAAAAACTTATAATTAGAGAGGAAGTCTTCTGTGTTGTAATGAATAAAAATTCAGAAATTCCGCAAATTAATAAACAGTGATAATTAAAGTCAATGACTAGAATCAGCATTAGTAATGATTTTTATTTTCTGGTTATTGTACATGCAGGAGGTTCCATGTCATATGACCCAAAAAAAATGTTGTTGAGAGGGGGAAAAAGGTCAATACTGAAAGTCTTTATCCATCCAAAATGTTGCAACTGTCAAAAGTTTTGGTAATTGTATGAGATTTTCTGGCGAAGAAAAATAGCAAATCTTTAAATTTCTGAATCTTAATATGGCATTTTTTTTTTTTTACTAAGATAAAAAAAGTTATGAAATACACGTGACTAGACTTTTTCTTTTTTGGTGTTTTTTCTTTTACTTATAACTTCTCTTGACATTATTAATTCTGAAATGAGCAGTAACTAAGTAATAATTCTTCAATTTCTTTTGAATGCAATCTAACTAAACAGAGATGGGATTGAAATTGGAGTAGTTTATTCCCGAATGCTGTTAGATAATTGTCTCGAAATGAACTTAAATCTTCTGAATTGATTCTCCCCACTTGAACTTTCAATTTGTGCACCAAATTTCTATTTTTTAAGCTTTTCTCCATGAAGTATCTCTATATATTGTTTTTTTTTTTCTCTGTTTTTTAAAAAGAGGCTATTTGTCTTGTTGATTATCCCTATTGCATTTGAATAACTACCTTATGCAGCCATTGTGCAGGTTCTATTACAGCATGACCCCTCACTAAGCAAAACGGTTGGCCAATCAAATGCAACTCCTCTTATATCTGCTGCTGCTAGAGGGCATACCGCAGTAGTTCATGAATTGCTGTCAAAAGATTCTGGTTTACTAGAGATATCTAGATCCAATGGAAAAAATGCATTGCATCTAGCAGCTCGCCAAGGGTATGTGGAAATTGTGAAGGCGTTGCTCAACAAGGATCCGCAGTTGGCCCGTAGGACTGATAAGAAAGGGCAGACTGCATTGCATATGGCTGTCAAAGGAGTGAGCTCTGCAGTGGTGAAACTGCTTCTTCAGGCAGATGCAGCTATTGTCATGCTTCCAGACAGATTTGGCAACACAGCATTACATGTAGCCACGAGAAAGAAAAGAGCAGAGGTAATAGTTAGTGTTATTTAGCTATTTAAAGTTTTCATTTCTGGCTAAAGATCTACAAGCAGATGATTTCAATTTTACATTTGATTTTCATGAGCAAAGACTAATTAGAGTGACATCAGCAAGACTAATTGAAGTAACATCAGAATTTAGAAGATGAGCATGTTACTTTATAATTCATGTCCACCTAATACATATACATAGATATAATTATTCTATGTTCAACTCTTAGCTTATCCATTAGTTGCACAAATTTGCTAACTGTCGCGGAAGTTGAAAATACCTTCTTTATCTTGCAGATAGTGCGAGAGCTGTTGCTTCTTCCTGACACTAATGTGAATGCACTAACAAGGGATCATAAAACAGCTCTTGATATAGCTGAGGGACTCCCTTTCTCTGAAGAAATCTCTGAGATAAAGGATTGTTTGACTCATTATGGCGCAGTCAAAGCAAATGAACTTAATCAGCCACGAGATGAACTTCGGAGAACTGTTACACAAATAAAGAAAGATGTCCACTTCCAGCTTGAACAAACTCGTAAAACAAACAGAAATGTGAGTGGCATTGCCAAAGAGCTCCGCAAGCTGCACCGGGAAGGAATCAACAACGCCACCAACTCAGTAACAGTAGTTGCTGTACTTTTTGCAACTGTTGCCTTTGCCGCTATTTTTACAGTTCCTGGTGGTGATGATGAAACTGGAATGGCTGTGATGGTTAGTAGTCCATCATTTCAAATATTCTTTATTTTTAATGCCATTGCTCTTTTCACATCTCTTGCTGTTGTGGTTGTACAAATCACAATTGTTAGAGGGGAAACAAAAGCAGAAAGGCGTGTCATCGAGGTGATCAATAAGTTAATGTGGTTGGCATCAGTCTGCACTACAGTGGCATTTATTTCATCATCTTATATAGTTGTTGGTAGGCACAACATATGGGCTGCAATTTTTGTTACTGTTGTTGGGGGAGTGATAATGGCAGGAGTTCTTGGTGTTATGACTTACTATGTAATGAAGTCGAGAAGGAAACGGAAAGTGAGGAAGAAAGAGAAACACTCTCGGAGCACTGGAAATAGCTCGTTTTATGCATCGGAGTCTGAATCAGAAGTGAACACAATTTATGCAATATGATGTTAAAAGGGGGAAGTGATAGCAGCTTGTATTATAAAGCAATACTTCTGATGAGGTAACAATGCAAATAGGTTTGATTGATTGAATGAATGAATGAATGTGTAATACAAATTCAAGCAGAACTTCACTTACTCATCTTCATGCATATATCAAATGAAAGTAATGTTGTGATTCTTGTAATTGTATCTGTGTATGCATAAATTTGTGCTTGTAAAACTTATTTAGGTCTCCATACATGTAATGAGCTATTTGAAATTGGTGAAGGTTAGTTAAGTAGAGTGCTTATTGGTTGATCTATTTTTACATGTAGCTTAGGAATTAATATTACCTTTTATCTGGAATAATGAATTTCCAACGGTTGCATTTATTTACATATGATATTATAAAATTTAGTTTAATTAATATTGAATTTCAGAATTTCATTGGATGCTGAAATGAATTTTCATTTATGCCAAATATAAAAAAATTAATTTTGACTATTAACCGAACCGAAATTAAAAAAAAAAACTTAATTAATCAACCAAATTTATCCAAAATTAATAATTAACTGAGCTTTAATCAAAATAAAAATTAACTGAAAGTTATTAATCATTACTTAATTAAAATAAAAATAAAAATTATTTTAATTTTTAATTTGATTATCTATTTACACAAAAAACCACGTAATTTTGAGAATTAATTTAGTTAAATTAACTTTTAATTGAATAACGAAATGAACATTGAAAGTTTAATTTATTTAACTGAACATTTATTCACTAATTATATTTGCCGAATTATCCAAATTAATCGAATCGAATGCTCAGCGCTAATTGTATACATGGTTGTATTACTAAGCTTGATAACCTTACCTTTTGTTTCTTCCTATGAGCTTGGAAATGTTAGTGATTCATATTATCCACATTGTCTTTTTTTTTTTTCTCATTTTTCCTTGTTGGTTTTGAAAAGACAACAATTTTATAATATTTTTTTTGTTTTTTATTTTCATGAGATTCTTTTAAAATTTTTAGATGAGATGAAACTCTTTAAACGAATCAAATAAGTTTCTTTCGAAAGAGTATCATAATCTCATTAGGCGAGAGACTATATTTCTAAACTAGAAGCAATTATTTTTAAAGCAATCCTAAAATTTTTGTTTGACTATTCCATTTTGCTATGACTAGCGTCAGATCTAGTGTGATTAACAACTTAACTAAGCTGTCTTGGATAAAAACTTAAAATTTTTTTAATATGAGAAGATTTTGTTTAAAGCATCATGTAAATTATAATTTTTAATACCTGAAGGTTTTGGAATTTACTTTTTGGTAAGAGATAATATAATTAAATTCAGCTACCTTATGAATTTTTTAAGAAAATATGATATGGTATTATATTATTGATTAGATTTTCTTTTCTTGTAAATCGATAGTTCACATCAGAAATTTTGGTCAATGTTTTATAAAATAAATTTCCAATATGATCAAATTGAGAAAAAAAAAAATTTCTTGATCATATGTATGATAGGATTAAACAATAATTATGATTAGGCTTGATGGTAATTGCGAATGCATTATTTTAGATATAATTGTAATTTTGCTGTTTTGCATAGTAAGTGCATATGTGGCAGTTTAGTATATAAAAATAATCATCGATACATATGGACAATTATGCCATTCAAACATCAATACAATAATCTCTTTCTCGATTCTGTAACCCTCTTCTTTTTGTTTCCTTCTGTCTCTCCTTTTCTCAATATTTTAAAATCAATTGACACAATTAGAGCATTGTTTGCCTGCAATTATTAAAATTGTACTAAATTTATATTTTATTATCAAATTAAAATAATCCTTAACTTTAGTAACTTTTTACAATGTTTTTTTTCCCCTTAAAATGCACTTTGGAGTTCATTAATTGGTGATATAAAATTGTAAATGCTTTTTTCCATTCATTTTTAAGTCCATATTATGTGTTCTGTCTTGAGTCACCCTTCTTTAGCGGATATTATTATCATGCATTGAATCGCTTTTTTTGTTAGCCAATATTATTATTATATATGAAAAATTATATTTTCATTCATATACTTTAGTATAATTGATTATTATGTACTTATATTTTATCTTTTGTATTATTTTATTCTTATAGTTTGGATCCGTTAAATTGAACTATTCTTTCGTCCGTTATTTAAAGTTTAAATTGTTAAGTGTTAGTGAAATTACAGGATTAACCCTATGTACATATGAACTAAAGGAGAAAAAAATTATATTTTTGTCTCTATATTTTAATATAATTAACTATTTTGTCCTTATATTTTAGAAATTACACTATTTTGTTTACGTAGTTTAGATCCATTAACGACTTAAATATCAAATAATGGACGGAAGGATAATTTTATTTAACAGAGAAAAAATACAAGAATAAAATAATATAATTTTTAAAATATAAAGACAAAATAATTAATTATGTCAAAACATGGGAATAAAATCACATTTTTCGCATTATATATATATATATATATATATATATTCGCATTAATATATATATATAATATATATATATATTTAACTTCTTTTCTTTCTTTCTCTCAAAAAAAAAAAAAGTTGTTTTCTTTCTAACTTGTAAGTAAATACAAATGAATTGAAATTTTAATTACTAAATTGAAAGCACTTTACCTTTCTAAAATACTTTTAGAATGAAAATATCATGCTTTAATTGCCCATTTATCTATCCATATATGTGTAAATATATAGAAATACATAATCAATGTCACTATATATATATATAAAGCAAGCATTTTTTTCTTTAGAAAGTTGACATGTAGCACATACATTTGTCATTTTAATTTGATATGTGGCATATTCCTCTAATAGGCTTCCACTTGGCATGATTTGATTTCATTTGATTATTTAATGTATTAATATATTGATTTGATTTTATTGGTTTGATTTGATTTGATTTTTTGATATATTAATGTATTGGTTTGGTTTGGGTTTATTTTGAGTTTGTGTTTTTTATTTGGTTTGATTTGATGTATTATTTTGATTTGGATTTATTTTGAATTAGTGTTTTAGGTTTGGTTATTTAATGTATTAATGGCTTTAACTAATTATTATTAATTATTAATTTTTTAAAAAATGATTAAGTTTAATAACAATGAATTATTCAATTAATATCTTAATGTATTGCTTTTGTAACACCCCTTCCCGGTCCACCCGTTAACCCGAATGAACCGAGCCGAGACGCTACAATCTGGTTGAACTTTTGTCTTGTCATGCTGATAAAATTATGCTTACAAAACACTCCAATTAAACTTCAGGATTCCAACATCTCCAAGAAGCATCATTAACACAATAACCCTTTTAGAATATCTTTACATAATTATATAAAACCCTCAAAAGCATTTTAATCTCTATAATTATTTCAGTCAGAATCCTATATCAAGTTTTCACTGACCTATCATACCAACTATAGTTAAAACTATTCATTCTTCAAGGCATTGTCATAATATTATTCTTTCTCCAACTACTTACACCAAAATAATTACATGTTTTCACTTATAATTTTACAAATCACATAAGCCTTCTAACAATAAAAGAATATACATGCCATAAAATCTTAATACATGCCATAATCTTAATTCTACATCTCTCAATCTACTATGACCAAATTTAAGCCATTCTGCTTTGATAGTTATCCTCATCTTTCAAGTAGCCAAACACGATCTTCAAAACTCGCGTGTGAAGATCGACGCGCTGAGTATAAAACTACAGGTGTGCTCATAATTCACATGCTGTAACAAGGTTGATGACAACTAACTGAAAACCCAATTTGCATAAAGCATTGAAAATCATCAGCTTTAGTAAAATTTTCAACAACAAATGTATTTTTATAGCAAAGATAAAACCTTCAATTTCACACCATAAATCACATAACGCCCTTCATTTGTTCTAATTATCTTCATAATTCCTTTACATGAACCTTTAATCACGTATTATGTTACATCATGATCTTAACCTGCTGTTTCATTGTGTTGTATGAATGAAATCAATAAACAAGGAAAATACATAACATATATGTTCCATTCTTACTTGCTATTCATGTATGCCGTGATGACTTTAGTGCAGCTTTTAGTCACATCATATAAGGTTATGTATAATAAACCAACTCATACTGTATGGCTCCTTAAGAATTAAATAATAACTTGTGAGCATATTAACATTATACTTTCATGATTCCTTACCTGATGTTCTTTATCTGTATGAGCGTCTGCCACTTTGAGTTAAAACTCAGTGAATTAATGAAAAGAAATAATAAGGCACCATACATATGTGCGAAATAAAACATCATTTACTCACATATATGGAATGTAAGCACACATATCTGATTACTTTCATGTTTAACTGATTGATCTTTCTTGATGTTTATATACTAGTATGATTATGCAATTTGTAGTCAATATAACTGTATAGCCTCCATAAAAGGTTATAGTTGAAAACCGAAGTGATAAGATAAACTTACTGAAACTGGATGAAACTGTATGCCATAGCCCCGAACCGGATTCGCCTATGTCAATATTGTCGTTTGGTGCCCCTAACCGGATTTGCCCACCGACGTTTAATCATATCCACTCAACGGCCTAGTAGCTGGAGTTCCAAACTGTATGGGCGCAGCATCTGTATCTATGTCGCGACATAGCCTTATCTACATTTGTTTTCTAACCTACCTTCCAATGAGCTTTCTTATTACATGCAATTATAACACATAACACATAAAATGGTTGCATAACTTCATGTTCATCATGTTATTTTGATTTCACATTTTCATTATGATGCTTGTTATGTTGTTTTAAATCCATGTTCTTATGTTTTATTTTTTGTTTTTACATGATTGGATGCATGCATGTTGAGCCAAGGAATGTTAAATTACATAGCAAATGAAGGCAAAGAGTGTCACAGCATAAGTCGCGACCGCGCATGTTGAAAGATCGCTGAGCGCGACTGTGCATCCTGAGAGTCAGTGTTTTCTGGCTGAAGTCGGCGACCGACGCAGCGACAAGTCGCCGAGCCTCGAGATGAAGTCGCGAGCGCGCTTTGTGTGATTCTCGAGCGCGAGATGCGCACCACTTGAGAGTTCAGAGAGCTTCTTGGCCAAAGTCGCGGACCTGCCGCAGTGCTGCTCCTCGCGACCAGCGCGCAGGTTGTGCAATTTGAGAGTCAGGAGAGCTACTTGAACTCAAGTCGCGAGCGCGAAATGGGAAGTCGCGAGCGCGAGTGCTTTCCAGCATGGCCGAGCCGCGCGAC